CCCGCGCACGCGCGACCAACCCGCCCCGCGTAAGGCGCGTGCTCTGGCCCCGCCCCGCACACGCCTACGTCGCCAGAACGCTCAGGGCGCCCTTCCACGCGAGTGACGTCACTGCAAGCTGTTCAGCCGCCTGGGCTGGAGCTGGGGGGAGGGGGAGCGCCGCCGCGTGGCTGTGGGCTCGGCACCCCTTGCGTCACTCGTGCGGCACGTGCCGCGGGCTAGACGTCCTCTGTACCGGCCTGTGCTGCCTGCGCCGTGCGCTGCCAGGGTATGGACCCTGCAGGCTGCCATGGGTTACGTGCCTGCTGCATTGGCTTGTGCTGCCGCACCGCATCTCGTTGCACAGAGTTTGAGCTCCATCTCCAGCCGGAAGTGGAGACTCTCTCAGCACCACCATTTAGCAGCTCCTGAAGCCATTGCATGGCGTCTTGGGTTTGCACACAGCCTGCCTATGCATGTCAGAGACCCCACTGCCCTAGCTACTTGTGTCTTCACGCTGTTCTGGGAATGCATCCATTGGGGGCCCCCACGAAACACACAAGAAAAAAATCAATAGGAAGGCCCCTTGAGCTGCTTAGTCTTCTTAGGCTTAGCTCTTGGGTGTGGATTGCACAGATACAGCTGCTTTCTAATACTTGATCCTTTTTGTTTCCTCTTGCACACACTTCCTTTCTTCATATGTGGTGTATCTAATACATAATAAGAGTAATGCTTTCTGAAGAAGAATGTGAATAATGTGTTGTTGCTCTGCCAGGTGTCCGGTTTTCACCTGGATGGTCCGTTATTTCTGGCCCCGTCCGGTAAATAGGGTTTCCACTTGCCAGGTGTCCGGTTTTGAACTGGACAGTCCAGTATTTGAGCTTTTTGTCCAGGAAACAAATTGAGAAAATACCAGACATATAAATGTCCGGTATTTTCTAATTAAGTAAGTTTTATTATTATCAGCAGTATCAGTAGATAGTTGCGTACTGTGTGAGCATGTCTACCAGCAAGGCAGTATGTAGCTACACAGTAGAGAGGAGGGTGGTGGGGGCGGTGCTGGGGTGGAATGGAATCCCTGAGGCTGGACTTATCCGTGCACCCTACTGGGACCGTGCAGGGGACGGGCAGCACCCCAGGATCTGCATGCACCCGGGTCAGCCCCACTTGCCACTGGCCAGTTCCCCTCCAGCCAGCCCCACTCCCTCTGACCTCCTCCCCACCAGCCCTACTCCCCGCTGGCCAGTTCCTTCCCTCGATCTCCCCCAGCCAGCCCTGCTCCGCTCTCCTCCCCTCCCGGCCAGTCTCCCCTTCCCCTCCCCCATTCTGAGATCACGTGTGTCTGGTATTTTTTTGAAACCCATCTGGTAACCCTACCGGTAAAAAAAACCCAGAAACTTGCTCAACCAAGTTTTTTTCCTGCCATGTTCGGGATTTTTGGTGAAAGCATCTGGCAAGCCTAGTTTCGGGGGTGGGGTGGGGAGAGGTTATTTACACTTAATGGAATTTTAGGAGCACAGTGCTGGCATGGAATTTATACCTGGACGACACGCTTAACTTTTTGGATACCTCTGGATTTACTGTGGGAACATTTTAAGATGACAAACACAATCTGCAAATATGGCTCAGCCCTAACCTGGAGTTACTTATGTAAGGTGCAACAGAAGTTCAATTTCCTTATGGGAAAAAAAGGATCAAATTCTTCTAGTTCAGTGACCTGTCAATGACATTACAGTCTGAGAGCATTATAATTCTGTTTGCAAGTTGATGAGAGAAGGTAAGGGCGATGTCATTTGATTCATAAAAGTCTACAGGATCATTATTTCAATAATGTCACTTTCTGCAGCACCCCCACCACACTCTCCCACCTCTGTTGATAGTATAATTAGGATTGCCAAAAGTTCAGTTTTCAACTGGAACACCCAGTCAAAAAGAGACCCTGGAGGTGCTGGACAGCACTGCTGATCATGCTATTAAAAGGTTGGCATGGGGCAGCCAGGCTTCCTATACAGCTCTGCAAGGCTCCTGGGAAGTGGAACATTCTTCCAGCTTCTAGGGTGAAGGACAGGGGTGGCCAAACCATTCTGGGCAAAGAGCCAAGATAGCAGTGGATCCAGTGTGAAGAGCCAGGGCAAAGTTGTCAATCAAAAAGAAAAAGGACTGCCCCTTTAAAAGGAGCCCCCGGTTGTGTTTAGTCAAGGGGGGGAAAAAAAAGCTCTGCCCTTTGAGTTAAACACGTTTTGAGGCTTTTTGGTCACAACAGGTTCCCGCCACCTGCCGCCATCTTTATTTCTGCAGCTTTCATGGCTGTGCCGGACAGCTCTCCTGCCTAGGTCAGCACAGGGAGCCGGGAGGAGAGGGCCATTTTGGGGGACGTAGGGGTGGTTTTTGAGCCATGGGTGGGCTTCGGGAAAAGCCGCACACGGCTCATGAGCCTCGGGTTGGCCACCCCGGTGTAGGAGCACTGGCTCCTCAGCTCCAACTGGCTAGGAACCATGGCCATAGGTGACACACAGGGAGAGACACAAGGGATCATATGCGTCAAACACCATGGGTGGGAAGGGCAAGTGGTAGGCCTAGCTGGGAAACTAGCAAGAGGTGGTTTGATGTCCAGGCCCCCCTACTCTCCACACTTACCAGGAACATCATGGCAAGAGCCCCAACTTGCTCCATTCCTCTGGCCACATCAGGGGAGGGGGCAGGATCTCCTCACCCTCATCCACGGGAAGCAGAGCCAGCAGCCATGCTCTGTTTCCCCTGTCACTGCCGGTGAATGTGAGGGAGAGTGGACCCCTGGTTCCAATAATCCCCCCCAAGCCACATTGCACGGGGGAAGGGAAGGAGGAGGGGACAGAGCAAAGGCAGGAAGGGATGGAGCAGGAGTGGAGAGGTGGAGCCTGGGGCAGAGGGGACTTGTCCTGGTCCTTTCCCAGGCTGGAGGAAGGTGTGTCATGTGGCCCCCCCATGTACCCTTTCACCAGCTGACCCTGCCCACACCCTAACCTTCTGCCCCAATTCAGAACCCTCCCACATCCAAACACCCTCCTGGATCCCACACCCCACCCACCTGCCCCAGCCCTGATCCTGCTCCCTCCACTCTCAACCTCCAGCCCACAGCCCCCTCATGCACCCCAAAACCCTCCTCATCCATGGCCCCACTCCAGAGCCTGCACCCCTAGTCAGAGACATCAGCCCCATCCCGAATCCCAACTTCCTGCCCCAGCCAAGAGCCTCCTAATGCACCTTGAGCTCCTAATTTCTGGGCCTTCCCTAGAGCCCACATCCCCAGCCATAGACTGTACCCCTTCCCACACCTCAACCCCCAGCCTCAGTGCAGAGCCCTTGCCTCACTCTGAATCCTTTGACCCCACCTCCAGCCCAGCGGCCCCTCCTGCACTCTACATTAATTTGAAATGCCTTTCTCCCATGAACACAATGGTATCAAACATTACAAACCCAGAACACGGATATATTTGAGAAAATGCTTAGAAATCAGTGGTTTTTAATTGTACTTTAACACAGGTATGCCATACATGCAGCCCTTACATGGTTAAACAGTGATCCTCAACTGACATTCCCGTGTTAATTAAAGCTCAGAACAGGATAGCTGATTAATTTTTTTAATGTTACAGATTAGTGTGCATGGAATGAGTGCTTCAACTTGATTTGCTGCCATCCAGAAAAAAAAAAAGAGCTTCTGTGGTATTTGTTATCAGCTCTGTTTATTGTGCCAAAAGAGTTGTAATGAGGGACTGGTTCTGATATCAGCACGCAGCCAAAAGTTATTGGAATCCATCCACAAATGGTATGCACTAAGTTATATAATGTATATTACATAACATGATAATCCCTAAGTAATGTATTACAAAATCTGTGTTTTTGCTATGGTACTGATCATTTTTAGACATCAGTGGAGAAACAAAGAGTACCGATTAGTGGCTGAATCTTTGGAGAATACCATATTAGAGGACCTGGTTAAGCACAATGTCCAGGGATGTAATTAGTTCACCCAAATACTGAATTAGACAAGACTGGAGAAGAAGTACATTGCACACCAGGAAAAAGTTGAAGATGCTGGGACAAGTGCCAGCTGTGGGTGAGTCTTTGCATCTCAATCTGTCAAGAGTGCTAATTGGAATTTGCACCTTGCAGTGCTAGAAGATATAATGAAAATTTTTTTTACATCAGAAACAACAAGCAGTCCCGTGGCATCTTAGACACTAACAAATGTATTAGGTCATAAGCTTTTGTGGGTAAAACTAACTTAAGTTAAGTGGGGGGTTTACCCATGAAAGCTTATGATGTAATAAATGTGTTAGTCTCTGTGGTGCCAAAAGAATACTTATTTTTCTAGTTACAGACTAATACAGCGACCCCTTTGAGATTTTTAAATTCAGATTTATGCAACTATTCTGTACTGATTACCTGGTACCTCGTGAACTAAAAGGTGTTACAAAGTCTGGCCCCAACATATATAGGAATTTCATTAAGAAACTGGGTTTTTAAAAAGTCACTAGTTCCCTTCTGTGCTGTTGGAATTATTAATAATATTAGAAATTGTTAATATGGGAGAGCATCAGACACCAGTTTGTACATTCATTTATTAACAACAAAGGCCCAATTGTATTAGTAAACATGCCTACTAACCTAAAAATAAGCTGTCACTAACTTAATACAGCAACAAATGTACTGATGGGGGAATTCTGCTCCACTGTGCACACACACAACTCATGTCCTCCACAGTTTTTTTCCACCCTGAAAATAAATTCTGCCAGGGAGGAGCTGCAATGACATCTCCTCACTAGGGGCTGCTGTGGTGCCAGAAGAGAAAGCCAGTTCAGGGTCAGAGTAGCCAGGCATAGAGGAGGGAAGGGATACTGCCCCATCTCCTCACAGTGCTTTGCCTGCAGGACCAGGTGAGGAAATGCAGGATATGGGGGAACTGGACAGCATGGGCACATGGGGCCATTGGAAGGTCATATTCTCTGTGGTTCAGAAAGGTTAGTGGGAGGGACAAGTTGGGGCAGGGGTAGAAGAGCTACTGCAGTGACAGTCAGGGGCTGAGTGGGAGAGGGAGTGCAGGGACACTTGGGGACAGAAGGGAGGTGGGTGTTTGAGGGTTCCAAAAAGTGTGGGTGGCTCAGTGTGGATGTAGGGACACATGCAGGTTCATCCTTAGGACACATGCAGGGGCCCTACACAGTACTATTAAACTGGTGCCTTGATGCCTGACAGCAGCTGTGGGAGGGTGGAAGGATGAGTTTTTAGAGATGTGATTTTATAATCTTCAGCAACAAAGTAATTAAATCTTTTTCAAGTAAGTTTTAAGCTCAGGTCTTGTAGATGAACACAGTAAATGTAGAAACTAACGGTATATGCCTAGGGTTGGCAAATGCCAGAGACAGCATTGCAGGGAGCAGGTGGAAGCCAGTGTTGGGGAGGAGCCAGCTTAAAAGCTGTCTTCCACAAACTCTGGATCCCATGGAGACATCTCCCCTCGGCACCCTTGCTCTGCTGCTGATAGCAAGGCAGTAGCATGGAGGAAGAGGGAGGCTGTTTTTCAAGCCACAGAGGCAGCGGAGAGGGGCAGGCAGGAGCCTCTACTCAGGGGGATCTGGCTTTTAAGCTGGATCCCCTGAGCATTGACTCCGTAGAGCCCCCTGTCCTCTCCACTGCTGCTTCTATATCAGAGGCAGCAGTGTGTGGGGGGGAGTATAGACGGGATGCTGGTGCAGTCTCTGTCCGCAGGGAGCTCAGGCCCCCCGAGGACAGGGTCTGCGGTCACCCCGCACTGCTGCCTCTGTATCAGCGTGGGGTGGCAGAGTGCTCCCCGGGAGTGGGGCCAGAGCTAGAAGTACACTGGCTGCCGGCCCTGCCCCCGGGGAGTATTTTAGGAATTGTGTAATTGCTAAAAATTGTTGCAGCTATATGATTACTAAAATACATGATATCTGACATCCCCACATGGGAGGTCAATATTGTTTAGCTGAATTGACAACACATCCACTGCTTACTGAGCTCTTAGAAGACATTTAGAGGTAAATTAGAGCTAAAGAACAGCACAGAACACTGAGCACCAGGACTGGGTGGCTGTAAACAAACTTTATGGGACTTGGCCATACTCATGATAAGTGGACATCTGGCTAACTAAAATCATGCTGGACCACGGATTCGCTGAACCAGAGAGTGCCGGACTAGAGAGGTTCAACATGTACAAATACATTAGAACAGTGTTTCTCAAACTGTGCTCCGCAGAGCCCCAAGGCTCCGCGAGACATCTCCAGGGGCTCTGTGAGGTTGACAAACTGGAAACATTGATAGGTACCACACATACAATCAGTGGACCACTGGGGCTCCGCATAAATTTTTATGCATGTAAAGGGCTCTGGAGCCCAAAAAGTTTGAGAATCGCTGCATTAGAAGATCAAGGACAGGGTAGGCCCATTACTGCCCTCCCAGGTGGCTGATCAGTGTAGGCATTTTTGGAAAGGCAATGCTTTCCCTTGCTTATACTACTCATTCTGCTGTCCCATGCCAGGCCCCCAGATAATCTACAATGTCCCATAGCTTGGAGAGAGAGGGTTTTGGGGAAAGGATGCAATGGTTGTAGAAGAGGGCAGAGCAGAGGTAGGAAGAGACGGGTGGGGATGGAGCAGGAGTGGGGCTTGGGGAAGTGATGGATTGGGGGCAGGGACGGAGCATGGGAAGAAAGAGGTGGAGTTGGGGTCTGGAGTAGAAGAGTTGTCCTAGGCCTGGGCTCCCCTAGAGATGGACCTGTCTGAGCTATGCCTGGTATCTAACTAGAAAGAAATGTGTTCTGTACTGCTTCAGTGGATAAGACACTGAATGTGGACTTAGGAAACCTATTCCCAGCTCAGCCACTGAAGTGCTTGGGCAAGTCACTCCCCCTCTCTGTGCTTTGTTTCCACCTCCATTCTTATCTCCTAAGACAGTAAATTCAGTCCCTTACTATGCTTGTATACAGTGCCTAGCAAAAATGGGGCTGCAATATAATTTGGGGGATCTGGGTACTATTGTAATATTAATACAAATAATACAAGAGTAAGAGCAGAGTTCCCTGCATGCTATTTTCCTATCCCATAAGCTTCCTCTCCCCTCAGACATACCCATTTAATGTTCACTATGATCACACCACAATACACAGCTTGTTTGAAGCTGTGGGCAGAGTCAGCCTGAACTGCAACACTTTGGGTCATCCCCAAACTTAAGTAACCTACTGTAGATAAAGAGGTGTAAGCATTAGCCCCCTCAGCCCAACCAGTGTTTTACTGCTTATGCTACAATCATACATAGTTGCTAATATTTCAGTTGGGGAGGGACACTTTTCCACATTGTTGTGAAGAGTTAGGCTTCCTGCCATTGGACATTCTAGGGAAGTTTTAATGTTTGTATATGGCACTTTAAGAACATTCAGTAGTTACTCATCACAACATCCTTGTAAAGCAGGTATTTCAACTAGGGATGTTAAATTTCGATTAATCAGCTAATTGAGTAGTCAATGGAATTTTCATCGAATACTCAATTAATCAATAAGGGGAGTGCTCACTATGCCTCCGCGCCTCTCCCTTTGAAATGTACAAGAGCCGTGGCAGCTCCTGTACATTTCAAAGGGAGAGAGGCAGCAGAAACTCATGCCAGCAGGGAGCAAAGCAGTCCCCACTTGCATGGGTTCCCTTCTGTGCTTCTTCCTTTGAAATGTACAAGACCTGGGGCTGTTCTTGTACATTTCAAATGAAGAGGAACAACAGAGAGATCAGCGCAAGCAGGACTGTTTCAGTCCTCTCTCACGCTGTTTCCCTGATGCACCTTGCTTCTCCTGCCTCCCGCAGAGATGGTGCCGAGGAGGGGAAACTGGCTTTTAAGCCAGCTCCCCCCAACACCGGCTCATGCTCACCCTCTTGCTGCCTCTCTCTGATAGAGACAGCAAGGGGGGAAGCGACTAGTCGAGTTCCTACTTGAACACCTGATAAGCATTTGCTTATAGGATAGTCAACTAGTTGCTTACAGCCATAATTTCAACTTCATTTTACAGCTGGGGAATTTGATGTCCTGGTCCTGAGAGCTGCTGAATACCTACAAACCAGGGGAAGTAAAAAAAAGGAGTTATGGGCACTTAGAAACAGTGATGTGAAAGTGTAAAAGGGTTAACGGTTTAACCAATGAGCTCATCCATTAACGTTTACAGTTACATGCAGGTCTCCTTCCAGCACTGCTGCCTCTGCCCCTGGAGAGCCGCCTCCCCAGTGTGTAAACATGTAACTGCTTAAATTTTCAGTGATTACATATTTACCATAATAAACACATTTTAACATTGCTACTTAGAAACTGACCATAAAGTTGAATTAAACAAGGTCACTCACAGATGAACTTGTTAAAACCTAGACTGAAACACAGGACTCCCTTTTTCTCAATCCATGATTAATCACCTAGATACCCTTGTGACACTGAACTGCTTTCTTTGTGAGGCAAAACTGCATTGGCTGCTTAGTGGAACAGCTGGTAGGGAAGGAGTTTGCAGTGGAAACATAGAAAATACTCAGAGAGGTAGCTCTGTTAGTCTGTAACTAAAAAAAAAAAAAAAACTTAAAAAACCCCCAATGGTCCTGTAGTAGGCTATGTCTACACTACCAAGTTATTTTGAAATAAGTTGTTTTGAAATAACTCCTGAAATAACTATTTTGAAATAAATGTATTCCTTTTCACAAGCAGGAGTTATTATTTCAAAATAACAAGCCCCCTTATTTTGAAATAACAGCCTTGGTAGTGTGGACGTTCACCTTCTTATTTTGCCATTGTAGACATGCCCTTGGAGACTAACCAAAAATATATATAGATAGCATCATGAGCTTTCCTTGGGAACTAACCAAAAATATAAATAGATAGCATCATGAGCTTTTGTGGGCACAATCCACTTCTTCAGAAGACAAATATAGAGCAAGAGGCACAGAGGTTGAATGATAAAGCCTGTTGTCCACTGCATACATCAATTGATGTGGGGATTCATGTCATCCCCAAAAGGGAGGGATTTACTGCCATGGCTCTCATAGAGCTCAGTGGGGGAATGTGAAGTTTATCAGCACTAATGGAAAGCCCAGGACAAAGATTAGCCGTGACCTTTGTAGGGCCTCCAAAATCATGGAGGTGAGTCTGGGGAAGCAGCCTGGTGACGCTCTGACAGAGTCATTGCATCAGAATAAAGCTGCTCCAGCGGATTTATTTCAGCCCGATGTCATCAGCATCTGTCAAAGATGATCTGCCCCACCGACAGCAGGCGCAGAGTGTCTCCCCTTTGTGATTGGTTCTTCCATGTGTCTATCAGAAAAGACCACGTTCTTATTGGTTAGTTAGAAAACGTAAATGCCCGGGTTTACTTAGATGGGGAAAGCTTTGACCCGTCTCCTTTTTTCTGTTCAATGATAGGTGGCGATTCCATGTCCGCCCTCTTTCTGAATCTGTTGTTTGATTGGTGTAGAGTGATGCTTGTCATGCCGTTCTCCTCTTCTATTGGTCACAATGCAGTTAACACGTAGAGCAGGCTCTGCGTTTGTGAGGATATAAGGTGTCGACCTGGCAACACTATTTCTGTCTTCCGGCCTGCAGCGGGAAGCGTTGGCGTGGGGGCGTGGCGGATGAATATTTATGACCTCGGCAGTACCGAGGGTTATATGTAATTATCCATCACGCAGATTGGTGATTGGCTGGACGGTCTGATTAATAATTCAGAAGCCCGTTGGCGGGCTTTCGAGGTACAGGCTAGGCAGGAGCCAGGGGGCGGGGCTATGCAGATGAGGCGGGAGTTGGAGGCTGGGGCAGGGAAGATGGCGGCAGATCGGAGCCGCTCGCCCATTGGGGGCTCCCCGGTGCCGGCCTGTATGTTCGCCCCGGAGCCCGGCTCCCTCGGCGGGGCGGCCCAGGCGGCAGCCTCCGCCTGCCCCCATCGCGCGGCCTTCGGCTCAGACTGCAGCGAGGACGGGGAGGCGCTCAACGGGGAGCCCGAGCTCGACCTCACCAGTAAGGTAGGCCTGGGCTGGGGGCTGGGGCCGCTGCGTGTGGCGGGGGTAGTGGGGCGACTGTGGGACTGTCCCGCTGGGAGAGACCCGGGGGCTTCAGGCGCGGGGCGGCCCCTCACTGCCGAGTGGGGTTCTCTGGCCGGCCGGCGCGGCGGGGATGGGGAACAGCGAACAGCGGGCGGCGGTGGGGTGCGGAGCTTGCGGGCTTGCAGTGCTGCCGGGCGAGGCAGGGGTCCTGTAGCTCCCTACGGCGGGAGAGCACCTGCCGTGGTTCCTGGATGGGGCTCTCCAGGGATTGTGAGCTGTCAACTTTCGTATGTACCGCACATTGCTGCTGTTACCCCTACACTGGCTCCTGCTGGGATCTTTCTCTGGTCACCCCCTGATGCGCCCCCCCCCCCCACACACACACTTCGCAAGTGTTTCCTCTGGCTTTAAAAGTGGCTGGAAATTCATAACCTGCTTATGGCTCTCTAATACTCTTGTGCATTGTTGGGAGGAAACCCGTGTAGTGTAATGCTCAAGTGTCAGAAATGACTTTGAAAGGGGTCTTTGGAAGAGCCTTCTTCCCACATAAAACACCTTGGTTGTGCTAGTATCTAGCATTGTTTCAAGTAATAATTTGCTCCAGCCAGAGTGTCAATTGAATATCTGATTTTCTGTCTAGTTGGTGATGGTGAGTCCCACATCGGAACAGTATGACAGCCTGCTTCAGCAGATGTGGGAGAGAATTGATGAGGGATGTGGGGAGACAATCTATGTAATCGGGCAAGGGTCAGGTGAGCATAACTTTCTTTTGAAGGAAAAGCACAGATTAACTGTGCAAGAAAGTATTGTTTTATCCAGTTTGTTTATTGCTGTGCTCAATGCTTCAAAGGTAGATAATTCTGTCCAACTAATCCCCCAATATAGTACCACATACAGGTGATGTCCTGCTAGTGGCTATGCTTGGAAACTTAATTAGGTTACCCTTTATCTTTTATCTGTCATAGTTAAATACTATTGATGAAATAATTTAGCCTGTGTTTAGAAAGAAGAGTGGTCCTGGGCATCTGAGCCCAGTACTGGGTGATTGGAGCTCTGGAGGTATAATATCTGTCCCAATACTGTTTTTGTGTTTTGAGGTGTTTGCTTTACCTCTATGCCCTATTTTTCCCCCCCCCATTTGTAAAATAGCTGCTTCTGACTCCTCTTGGCAGCAGTGAGCCAAGTCTGGCTCTATAACAAAAGCAATTTCCTTTTTGTTTACAAATGTAATGCCTTTAACTTCATATTCTAGGGGTGTGTCTAGACTAGACTTTTTTTTTTTTAAGTAGCCTTTTTTTGAAAAAACTTCACCTGGGTCTAGACTGCAGTTGCGTTCTTTCGAAAGTAAATTGAAAGAACGTGGCAGTTTTTTCGATCGCGGTAAACCTCAATTTACGAGGAATAGCACCTTTTTTTTTAAACTACTCTTGAAAAAAGGCGATATTGCACCTTTTTTTTGAAACTACTCTTGAAAAAAGGCGATATTGAATGCAAACTGCTTTTTTGAAAGAGCTTCTAGACTCTCTTTTGAAAAAGCGGCTTGCTTTTTCAAAAAATCTGCTTGCAGTCCAGACGCTCTTTCTTTCAAAAAACTTTTTCGAAAGATTCTTTCGAAAGAAGCTTGTAGTCTAGACGTAGCTTAGGTGTGGCAGCAGCCACGTGCCTTTGCGTACTTGTGGCTTGCTGTTTAGATACCTGAAACTTTAACAAAGCTTTGCTATCTATGCCCTAATGCCCCTTGTTTGTTCATTCATTCTAGTTTGCAATTCACAGGGCTTGACAAACAGCCGCAAAATCCGCTTGCCAGCCCCGCACGGCGCATGCGCGCGCCACCAGTGAACGGGGCGACTAGCTGAAATCTACTTGCCCTGGGAGAGTAGATTCAATGATTTGTCAAGCCCTGGCAATTCATATTTTTAAATGTTGTATTGCTAATGACAAATACAACATTTGACATGCCTAGAGTCTGAAATTCTTTTGCAGAAAGCACAACTAGCTCATGGATATCATGAAGGCCAAGAGCTTGGTGCATTTCAAAAAAATTTGGACCTGTACATATATATTAAAAATGTCCAGAGTCATAAGCCTTTAAATGTTTACTAAATTTTTTGGAGAAAATCTCATACTTCAGTGCCTAAGCTGATCTCAAGTTATGGAGCAGTTAGCAGGAAACCTTGAAAGGTTATTCCATAACTGCTTACTGCAGGTTTTCTTGATGCACCTGGAAGTGGCCATTGTCTGTCAGGACACTGGATTAGATGGACCTCTGGTCTGATTCATTACAACTGCTATGCCTGCAATTCAGTAATAACATTGACAGTGTTCAGTCAAGCTGCCCATGTACATCACTCGCATCAATTTTCTGTATCCCTGATGCAGGGAATAGCCATACCTAAGGAAGGAAGGTCTATTGCATAATTTAGTCTTTGTGCTTTCTATAGACACTGCTATAAGGAGGATAATTTGTGATTGTTTAGAGATAAGCACTTGCTTTCTTAGATCTAGGTCAAGACTCTCCAAAAGGGAAATATGCCTTTTTGTATACCAACTGGGGTTGTATTGGAACTAGTAACTTACAGGGGAGAGACTTCATGTTACAGCCACAATCCCTCAAACCCAGGGAGTCTCCTTTGAATTTGTTTAGTTTTTAATAATTTAAAGAAAAAATAGGTTGATCTAGTCAGTCTTACAAAACCTGTTAATAGTACTTTGGAAAAGATACCCAAGGGATGCAGCGGAGAGAGTAACTTTAAAAAAACAAAAAACAAAAAACTTTTCCTCCTGTGGCAGTATGAAAGATTGATAGATGAGATAGCGTGTCTGGCTGTATATGGGAAACTGACTATATACCAGAAGCGCTTTTGAAAGTACAAAGTAAGCAAAAAGAGAAAAATGTGAATTTTTATGCTACTCCTTCAGTGACTTTTTTTTTTTTCCCAAGTGTTGCTTAAATTCTCATAGGTGAAGCACTTTCAGATTCAGTGATTTTTTTTTTTCCCCAAGTGTTGCTTAAATTCTCATAGGTGAAGCACTTTCAGATTATTTATTTTGCTGTTGTTGATGGTGACCCTTTGCGTGTTAAAACCTAAGTCTAAAGTTTCCTGTTTTTCTGTAGGCGGCTGAAGTCTTTTCCCGCTTGTGCAGTTAGTGCTACAGATCGCTCATGTGAAGCAAGAATAAAATTACCATTTACTCCAGGCTGTTGGGAGGTGATGCTAACCTTTTATTCCCTTCCCCCTTACAACCTCTCATTAGATGGGACTGAATATGGTCTGAGTGAGGCAGATATGGAAGCATCCTATGCCACAGTGAAGAGTATGGCAGAGCAGCTTGAGGCAGATGTGATACTCCTGCGGGAGCACCAGGAGGCAGGGGGCAAGGTGCGCGACTACCTTGTTCGGAAACGTGTGGGTGACAACGACTTCCTGGAGGTCAGGTGAGGAGATGGGTGGAGGCAGAGTTAGGCAGCAACACAGCCACATCTTTGATCTGAGTAAGAGGTGATGTATGAAGCCAGAAAAGGCAGCTGTCTGACCACTCCTTGCTAATTAAATCTTTCTTCTTTATACAAGCTGTCTTCAATAATGTTTAGCTTGTACTCCTGTTCTTAGCTCAGAAGTTTTTTAGTATAAACCTGGCTTCACATACTAAACCCAACAGCTCGACTTAAGGTACATAACTTCACTTATGTGGAATACGTAGCTGGAGTCAGCTTAAGACAGCTCGGCTTAAGGTACATAACTTCAGTTATGTGGAATACGTAGCTGAAGTCAGCTTAATTTAAGTTGAGCTTGGTGACGTCCCCGCAGCAGGAGGCCGATGGGAGTGAATGCTCCCATAGTCTTCCCTTACTCCTCACGAGAGCAGGAGTACTGGCTGATGGGAGGGGTGCCCTCTGAGTTTGGTTTAGCGAGTCTTAACTAGACTCACTAAATCAAACTCTGGCAGCATTGGTCTTCTGAAAAGTAAAAGCGTGACCTCAGTGACCATCTGTTTTGGCTTTCTGGGCTGACACCACTTCAGGGATTCTTTGCTGATCCATCAAGGGGTTGTTTGGGAACTCATGTATCCTGTGGTTGCAGTGAATTCTGGGGACCTTGCAAGGAATGGGCGCTTTAAAATAAGCCACACTGGAAAATGAAATCTTTTGCCTATCAGTCACCACTTCAATTCTAGCCTAATGTGTAAGTGACCAAAAGTTATCTCTTGATGGGTCTCTGTCTTGTATAAGAATTACTTGGGAGTCTCAGTTTAATTCCAGGTGGCTTGGGTTTGTGCATCATTCACATTGCCACAATGGCCATCTCAGTAAAGATGTTAATATTAATACATGAATGAGTCTCAGACAATGAAGTTCCCTATAAGATTTCCTCTAAATTGTACATACCTTGTTGCTTGTACTGTGCAAATTCTAAACAGGTTTCAGGGTCCAGTGTCTGTCAAGCTTGTATTAACCCAAAAAACTTGAATTCTAAGGGAAGACGAAGCTGACATTTAACTACTCTCCAGATATCTGATTACTTAATATTTTTCTCTGTAGGGTGGCAGTGGTTGGCAATGTGGATGCAGGAAAAAGCACGTTGCTGGGTGTTCTGACACATGGTGAACTGGACAATGGCCGGGGCTTTGCCCGGCAAAAGCTCTTCCGCCACAAACATGAGATTGAGTCGGGTCGTACCAGCAGTGTGGGCAATGACATCTTGGGCTTTGACAGTGAGGGCAATGTGGTAAACAAGCCTGACAGCCATGGCGGCAGCCTGGAGTGGACCAAAATATGTGAGAAATCCACCAAAGTCATCACTTTCATTGATTTGGCTGGGCATGAGAAGTACCTGAAGACCACAGTCTTTGGCATGACTGGCCACCTACCAGATTTCTGCATGCTTATGGTAAGTGACTCTAAAGCAGTGCAAAATAGCTGAGGTTAGGATATGTTCAATGCTTAAAATACCAATACAGAAGAGAAGTGGATGACTTTCTTTGGGGTGGGAATAATTCTGTGTTTGTACAGTGCCTAACACAGTGAATAGCTGGTCCATGAGGGGGCTTCTAGGACTGTAGTCATACATTCTGCATACTGAAGCTATTGGTTATATAGCTAGTCCATGAGGGGGCTTCTAGAACTGTAGTCATACATTCTGCATACTGAAGCTATTGGTTATAATTCCCAAAATGATAATATGGCCAGGACTTCAAGAGCAGGGACCCAACCATGAAGTGCCACAGGATCTTCAATAGCCATAAGTGGTCAAGATATCTGTTTTTGTTTGTCATCTGAAAGATTTCTGAACTCAAATAGAATATTGTAAGCACTAGTTATGGGTTGGCTTCTTTTCCTCACTGTCACTTTTCTCTCCTCCCACTGATGTGTTCAAAATTCTTGGTGTGTGCATGTGTGAGGGGACAGGATCTGGAATTGCTGTCCCTACTCTCCTCCTCCATACACAACTGTTCTATAATCTGATCATAGTCTATTGCACACTCTAGCCAAACTATCCTATGTGATCCAACTACTTGCTGTTGTATTACTTTTTTGATGCAGGTTGGCAGCAATGCTGGGATTGTTGGGATGACCAAGGAGCACCTGGGCCTAGCACTAGCACTCAATGTTCCAGTCTTTGTTGTGGTGACAAAAATCGACATGTGTCCTGCCAACATCTTGCAAGGTAAATGTAGATCTTTGCCAATAACTGCTCCCTGTATCCACTGGTTTGTCAGTGTTCACTCAACTGAGATGGTGAATCAGGGCTGAAAAGTCCTCTCATACTTACACATGGTTTTGGCTATTGCCCAGATACATTCTAGAAAGTAGTTTGTGGGGTTTTTTCTTCTTCCAAGACAGTACCCTCACTTGTGTTACAGCTCCCACTTCCAAATTATCATTGTTTGGATTGCTTAGCTGTGCAGCAATAAACTCTTTGCTGTTGGGTATTGCCTAATTAGACTTAGTGTCTGGATTAATTACACCTTTGGCCATTCTCCTGGGGAGACTTGCCTCGCTCCCTGCCTCATTTCTCCAGACTGGGAATTTAAGCTTGCTTTCACTTTGCACTGCATTATGATTTCTCTAGTAGATCTGACTGGGATCAGTACTTGTGGCTAACTTTCCTCCAGTGGCTACAACAGTATGCACTAATTACCAGCCCAACCTTAAAGCAAAATGCATTTATTCACAGGGTAAAAGCATTAGAGGAAACATTAACACATGTATAGGAACTTCTTAAAGCTTTGTGATGGATGACCTCTACCCTTATGGGGTCCTACTAAGCTAAAATCATTTCATAAGGGTTGGGGAATCCCTTGGACAGATACTGTCCTTTCCCTTCAGTAAGGGAAGCCTTATGTCAGTTTAAACTCAGCCTTTTTATGCCAAAAGCTCCTTCTCTGGTCTCTAGAAAATCTAGTTTGAACTAGTATATGTAAGGCTCCCCAGTGAGTTGTGGTGATTCACCTTCATCACCCATCCAGTTTTTAGTTCTTGGAAGAGCTGTGGTAACCCTTCCCTTTGGAGTTGAATGTAATCCCTTGTGCACAGTGATACATAAATCATAAAGCTAATATAAAATGGTCCCTGAAGATATTGTGTCCAGTTGCAGTATCTGTCAAGTCTTTTGAGGAGAGGCAGCCAAGTGCTCTAGGCTGCAGTTGGGGTGGTAACTAGGAATGTTAAAATTTGGTTAAATTGGTAACTGAGTGCTGAAAATCTCAGTGGTTGCACTGTTACGTGCTGTGGGCTCTGCAGTACAAAGCTTCAATAAGCTTAAATAAGCCCTTCTTGAGAAAAAGCCTTTGCTGCCCTGTTGCAGCAAAGCTGCCTCCCTGCTGAATGTAATGGATACCATTAACTGATAAGCATCAGTTTATGGATTAAACTGTTATTCAGCTACACTCTAACATCCCGAGTGGTAACTACATCTGAAGAGTAAAGCCTGCAGTTGGAAGGGTGGGGGAGGGGGAACGGAGGGGAGCGGGATGGGTATTAATTTGAACGCTTTTGCTCTGCTTCATGCCTGAAGATTAAAAGTGACCTGTTTATTGCACTCCAGTGGTGTGCATCAAGGCAGAGGGATGTGATCCACTCTTCCAGAATTCTGTTCCTACTTTGAGTTTTGTTCTTGGGCCCCTAAGGATTTGGCTCTAGTTACTTGGAACTGGAACGTTTTTGGTCAGAAGTGCTTGAGAAGTTTGAGAACCGGGAAGACTAGTAATCTGCCTGTTCTGTACAGTTAGTGTCTGCACAAATTCTGTGTGGAAATGCTTTCAGTAATCTGGATACTGAGCAGTATCTATTATATTGGGGTGGGCAATTTTTGATTGGGGGGGGGGAACACTCCAAGAATTTAAAGTATTTGAAGGATGCACTCTTCCACGATATTAATGGAAGAAGTGCAGGGTCTGGGATGGAGGTTAGGTGCAGGAGGTAGCTTGGGATAAGGGAGTTTTGGTGAAGGAGACAGTTGTGACCTAGGGTAGGGATTTGGCATGTGACCTAGGGCAGGAGGGGACTGTGATTTGGGGTGCCAGATCCGAGAGGGGATATGGGTGCAGGAGGGGGCAGAGGATTTGGGTAATGGAGTATGGGGCAGAGGTTGAGGAAAGGAGGGGCTGGGGTGCCAGAGGCAGGGTCTGGGCAGGAGACTTACCAGCCAGCAGCCTGTTCCTGAATCAGCCTCCCTGTCTGCCAGTGTTCCCTTTAAGCTGTGTGGCAGTGCAGCTTCACAGGTGATTGACTGGGATTAGTCATCAGCTCTGTGCACTGGAGCTCTGAGCCTCTGACTGGGGGGTCTGATTAATCCCCTGTGTAGCTGGGCTGCCTGGAGCCCTTGTGCTTCATGGTTGCCTAAAACTGGCCAGTGGGATTGTGCTGTGGCAGGAAAAGCTCCTAAAGCTTCCCCCTTCCCCTTGGACTCCCAATTTTTAAAGAAAAATTGCCCTGCAGCCACATTTCTGAGTGGCATGCAGATGGGGCGAAGCAAGCAGGGAGCCTGCCTGGGGTTCCCTGCAGTGCCCGCAGGCTTGGTGGGCTGGATCCAGCCCATGGGCTGTATTTTACCCAGTCCTGTATGATCTATAAATCCTTGGAAATGAAGGTGTAAAAGATATTTGGCAAACTAACAAAATCCTAGTCATAAGGCCAGTAAATGGAGAGGAAAGAGCATATTTGGTGTAGGGTAAGAGCAAAGGTTTTGAGGAGAATTTTGGCCTCTGAGTCCACACTACAGGGCCAAGAAAAGGATGTAGATGTTTAATTTGAATAGGTAGAAGATTTGACTTCTTTAATGTTCACATGGCTAAATATTAGTGTCTCCTTAATCTTAAACTCTAAAAGCTGTGTCTACACTGGCGCGATCTTGTGCAAAAGCAGCCACTCTTGCACAAAAACTTGCTGCCTGTCTACACTGGCCGCGTGTTCTTGCGCAAGTAAACTGATGTTCTAATATATAAAATCAGGGCTTCTTGCGCCAGAACTCTGACCCTCCCGCTCAGGAATAAGCTCTCTTGTGCAAGAGCTCTTCCAGAAGAGGCCAGTGTAGACAGGCAACATGAATTTCTTGCACAAGAAAGCCCTATGGTTAAAATGGCCATCAGAGCTTTCTTGCGCAAGAGCGTCTACACTGGCATGGATGCTCTTGTGCAAAAGCACATGCCAGTGTAGACGCTCTCTTCTGGAAGAGTTTTTGCAGAACTCTTCCACACGTTTTTGCGTGAGAACGTGCCAGTGTAGACGTAGCCTAAGAAGGCAACTGTTTTGGCTGTCTGATCAGATGACAGTTGTGGAATGTAAATTTAATTGCAGCTGAAGTCCTTACCATCCCCTTATTTTCCCCATACACATAGGGTTGTACGGTTAGTTACATTGTAGGAGATCACCTTTCATTCATGCATCAGGTATTGACTTCTACTGGAAGCAAGATACTGAATTAAAAAGACTGGCTGGCTCCATCCTGGCAGAGTGAGGGCAGGATTCTGTCTGAAACATGAATCCTGTGTCCCCCTGTATGGGACCCTATTTTGCTATTGGCTCTTGTGATAATCTCTGCTCCCCTCTTAATTCTGTGGAATTGCAATCACAATCCTAAGTAAGACTGGCCTGGGAAATATTAGGTTTTGTCATGGCAAAATCAAGTCTTAATTTGAACACTCTCTCTAATTCTAGCCACTAACTAGTATTCAGCTCATGATGGGGGAACTGAGGAAATTCTTTTGAGAATTGTTTAAAACCTGAGCAGATGAAGATTGATCTTTTTGAATACATAAACATGCATATCTAAATTTTCTTTTTAAAATGAAGTGTGAATTTAAAACACAATCTGTAAAGGCCTAGACTTATTTCTTTAAACTTTCTATATAAAATGACTGGGGGAGGGGGGACATGTTAATTTCTGAGAGTTTTATAAACATGGCACAAAAATCATGTTCTACTTTAACAGCTTGATCCTGTAGGGGATATAGGGCTGTGCAAGAGATTGACAAAGTCATCACAGCCATTGGACCAGGCCTCTGCCTCTAGGAGACAGTAGTGTGGAAAACCAGAATACATGCTAATGACACAGACTATAAAAATCCACATTTTCCACAATTAAAATAAAATGTTGAACTTTACTTTCTGTAACTAAGATATAGGTATCATTATTAAATAGTGTCTTATTGTTATATTTACAACTTCAAAGTAAATTTGAAGCCTACCTGTACCAATTATTTAATAAAATTAGGAGAATGATCCAGTCTCAGTGCATGGTTTTAGTGTCATCATTGGCCCTGCTGTTTCAGCCTCTAGTTTTGTTTCTTTTCATTCAGTTTTTAATACCTTCCATGTGTTCTACCATTGTTGGCTTTCAGGCATAATCTACCCCGTTGCTGCATGTAGTACAGAACAGTACATTATGATCAATGTGAAATTTGTCCTTGCCAGATTGAGTGACATGATCATTAGAGTGACTTAAAGTTCTTCATCTTTTCATAACTTAATTTCTCACTTTGAGGCTGAAGTGAGATGTATTAAAGCTCAAATTCCTATATGCTGTTAGTAACCTCTATACACCAGAAGTGGCTTATTTCAATATGTTTAGGTACATAAATTCCAAGCACATTCAAAAATCAACCACAAGAGGGGGAGGTTGCAAGCTCTGAGTAAGTCACACTGGTACTTTCAGTAAAATTTAATGGTGTGTGTTTTGCACAGTAAACTACAGATGCTCTGTAAAAATGCCATGGAAAAATGCAGAATTTGCAAACTGGTTTCTAGGATCATCATGTGATAGTATCCCTGGGGCCTAACCTAGAGATGGGGTATTGCTGTGTCCTCTCAGTTCTTCAGCCTGGGCTGTCTTTCACAATGCTTTGCTAGTGACAAGCCAGCAAGCACTATTACTGTTCAGTACAACCACATGTAGAGCCCCACACCCAGCCAGATTGTAGGACTGCTCCCTGAGACACTAAAGTCAGAAGAAGGCACCAGTAAATCTCTCAAGCTGCCAGCCTTGTCAAGAACTGTATCATCTTGCTCTGGTCAGAAGCCTGTCCCATGTAAGTTTTAAGATCAGGTTTGCCCCTCCTCAAGGTGGAGAGGACATGTGCATGCACACACATGCTTTTTTAAGGTGAGCTCTGGTGTCTGAAGCACTTCAGGAATAGTTAGACAATATATAAAACAGATTTATTAAGT